AGGATTTTTAAGATGAGCTCGGGAGGCTGTCTTTGACGGCTGTTTAATGATTTTCTTAGCAGTAAATGTCTGTAAACATCAGATCGTAGGTGCTCGCGCGAGCCCACGCAATTGTTAGCGGTAGCTAAAACAGATCATGAGCAAATGTCGATCTTATAGAATTCAGATTTTTAAATGCGCGAGAACGCGCGTGGAAATTGCTAAACTTACGAGAGCTATTGCATGAAAACAAGTCCGGTGATCCCTTTCTTTTTATTGTTCCAATATGATAATAACGTCGAAAGGAACCATCAGAAAAAAAAAATAGAAAATGCCCTTTTTGTAGATTTTCTGAAATTCCGCTCCGTAGAATTTCTTAAAAATCTTTGGGCATTTTCCTTTTCAAGTGCCAAAAGCAATCACTAAAAAAAATCAGGGGGTCACCGGGTTAGTTTTCGAATTATTTAAGCCACAAGCTAAAAAATGCGTCTGAATAAGCCTATGAAAGCGTTGCCATGGAAACTGCTAGTAACGAAATGACACTTATTTTTGTATAACCAATGACTATGTAATTCAACCCCGTAAAAGTGTTCAGCTGGCCTTGGTCAATCTGTCTGTTGTATTCTTTCAAAGTTACAAACCATCAAAAAGATGAAAACCGGTACCAGCCACCTTAAAGACCTCGAAGGCCTTATTTGTTCTTCTATAGTCCGATGCGAATGTTTCTTATCAAATAATTCCTGGTTAGTGAGAAAAATTATCGAGCTCCTGGGTAATAACGATGAAAGTTTTGCGCAAAACACACTGGGTGAACGTGGCCATCTATTTAACAAATGTTGAGCTAAGCACACCTGATAATACTCACATAGAACATCAACAGCAGTGAAAGGCGAGCTGTAGTTTCTATCTTGGGACAGCGACACACACATATATTTTCCTGCTTGTGATCGATTTATGGATTGAATGACAAGAAAACTGTTCCTTCCTTTCTTCATGGGTCGGTTGTCTTTCAGCCACATGACAGATGAATTTTCCGGCCCCATTCTGGCGCGGCAGGTGATATTAAGTAGTTCCCCTTCCTTCATCTCGACGGTTATATTTTCAGGTTCTAATTAAACGATAAACAAGATGTATGATCTCAAGCATCTGCATCAGACCTGGTTGCACCATTTTTTTGTCGCCAGGATCAACTGTAACCGCTTTTAAACTTACGCTAAGCTAACTTCTCACGAAAAAGGTCGCGACCTTAATCTGCTCGTTAACCAACTAACTAGACCACAGATAATGGCAACCATGATTTTAGCATATGTAGTTGTACATTTTGAGGAAATTCTGTTCATCAATCATTTTATTTCTCGAAGACAATAACACGCTTTATAAGCATTAAACATTAGAGTATTCACGTAAATAAGGAAAGGGGGAAGGGAATCCTACCTGGTGGCTTCGTTGGTGGTGGAGTTGGAACCTGTGAGGGAAAAATAGTTTGTTCTTAGGTTTTATTGTAAGACTTTAAATCATGGCTCTTTGCTTGGCTGGTGCTGGATATATATGCTATTGACCAACCGGGAGGTCCGTGTTGGTAAAAACTGTACCCGAGGTTTTGTATACCACCCGAGGCCTTAGGCCGAGGGTGGTACTCAAGACAAAGGGATGGGAGAAGACTGCCCGCTCTCAGAACCAATCAGATCGCAGAATTTATAGAAGACCGCCCGCTCATGAGCTAAGAAAAAAGTAAATATGCGTGAGGTTAAGATGGCTGCAGAAAAATGCCAAAATTATAACGAGGCTAATATGTAGCCATATTGACCGAACAAACATATTTGATAAAGGGTTTATTGTATTGCGAAAAGATTTCGCTTTATCAAGAATTAAGAATGACTTGTTCGCTTCGAGAGCCGGGAAAGAAAGCCAACTGTGTTTGTAACACAACAAACTCACGGGAGTTGTTTATATTTTCTTAGTTATTTTCTCTGCAGTCCTAGTTTAATCAATACGCAAACGACTATTTCTAAAATGTCGAGCTGTAAAATACTCTCCTCGAAAGTTACCTCTTTGCCTGGAAAAGAAATGATTTCCTACCTGAGCAGAAAGAGTAAACCCATCTTCCATAGGATGAGAACCAGAAACTTGGAACCTAATCCCATAATCTGAAGTATCTTGTTGTTGAACGTTCAGAAGTTGGAAAGCCACGAAGCCACGTGCCAAGTCTCCCACCCAGTTTAAACGCCTTGCGATTAAGGCCTCTTTATCTTTGACTACTGATTCGCTCCCGTTTGATTCTCGAACATATGTTACCGAGTGGTCACCAGTTATGTAGTCGTATTTTTTATTCCAACTGGCAAGGACAACTTCCAGTTTCTTTGATTTCTCCCCCTCAGTTAGTTTAAAACTCCAGGAAAATGTTTGATTGGATCCAATGAAGGAAACTACTGTTTTATTCGGCTGAGAGATCATTTTGAAGCCACATATTCCATTCAAACCTAAAACATCAGTTGATTAAATGGTGTGACACACTTTATAGTGGTAACATCTGTTGTTTACAACAAAGAAATAAATAACGAAAATAAAAAGCCAAATGAAGCAACTGTACAAGAGAGAGGATAGAGAGATTTATGCAGTGGAATACCAACATAGCGCTAACTCGCCGAAAACGCTTCAAAAGGGCCTGAGATGCTGGTTATCAACAAAGAAAACAACAAGGTAATAAGTTAAGTCCATTTTATTTCAAAACAAGACATTTTTTTCTCTCTTTTAAGGGAAACCGATAACATCCCATACAAACCTTTATAAATATAAAACGTTGCCCAACACTGTAAGAGTCACGTCCGCTTTTCTAGTAGTGAGCTTGGGCTGCCTGTGCTCAAGTCAACCAACGCGCGTGGACGCAGAGGACGCTGAACTTTTAGTAGGTGCTAACATTCTGCTTCTTTACTTAAACGGAAGATCGTTGCTAGATTAAAGAAGAAACGTCGCTTCTTGGTGCGGAAAGTCTTAGGAAAGAGAATTTTTGCTAAAGCGATGGAACAAACAATCGTATTTTCTAATTTCTTCCATAAACTGCTACGGGTCAATTTCACCTTCCATCTTGTCGAAACACGCGCACGTGTAAAAGTTGATAAACAACTGGTTGTCATGGTATCATGCCGCTTGTAGTGATTCTCGCGAGCTGGGAAAACATAGCATTATGGGACACATTCCGATCGCATGATCGCAGAACTTTGTTCACAAATGATCGCACTCGATCGCATTCGATCGCAATCGATTGCACGGATAGAACATGGTTCTGTTCCTGCGATCGCTTGTGATTGCGATCGGACACGATCGCATAGCTGTTCACATATGATCGCAGACGATCGCAGGCGATTACACGATAGCTGAAACCACTCAACCGAAGATCGCGAATCGCATGTTCACATATGATCGCACCCGATCACAGCGATCTGTGACAACTGAGTCCACGGTTTACCATTGCCAGAAATTTGGATCAAGATGCCGGACGTGCGTGCGTATTGAGAAGTTAATAGCGGCGAGATCGTGTAAAGAAATGTATGGGATTTCCACAAAAATCCAAAATCCAACAAATACGAGTCAGAGTATTCCCTAACTCCGACTCGAATCATGTTCAGTAGAGATTTTTGCTTTTTTTTTTTTCCATAAAGAAGGTCCACAGAACTTAAATCGCTCAATATCTAATGTGGAACTTGTCCTAACCACTATCTTTGTTTTCATCCGACCTCAATCCGCTGACCAATGAATGCGAGAGCAAATTGTCCTCGATTTCTGGCGATGCATTCAGCGGCAATACAATGTAACTCCAGCCAACCAACATAAACGCAAAGGACGCTGAAATTCCAACAGGTGTTAACATTCTGCTTCTGTTGTCTTTACTTAAACAGAGAATCGCTACCAGTCAAAGAAGAAACGTCACTTCTTCGAGCGTAAAGTCTTAAGAAAGAGAGAATTATTTGCTAAAGCGATTGAACAAACAATCGTGTTTTCTAATTTCTTCCATAAATTGTTCCGTGTCAATTTCACCTTCCATCTTGTCAAAACACACGCACGTGTAAAAGTTGATAAACAACTGGTTGTCATGGTATTATGCCGCTTGCATTGCATTATTGGACACATACCAATCACATGATCGCAGAACTTCATTCACATATGATTGCACTCGATCGCAGACGATCGCAACCGATCGCACGAATAGAACATGGTTCTATTCCTGCGATCGCCTGCGATCGCGATCGCACACGATTGCAGAGCTGTTCACATATAATCGCAGACGATCGCTGGCGATCGAGTGTAATCGCCTGCGATCGTCTACGATCATATGTGAACCAGGCTTAAACGATCAACAGAGCGAGATAAAAAACGTGACTGCTACGCGATACTCTTCCCGAGAAAATCTTGATCCATATGTCGTTGACTCCAGGAGGTCTCGCCTTCTCATTGGTTTGCGGTTTCAGGAGGCGAGATAATCTCCTGGTGTGGCGCTAGTTTTTTACAAACCTTTAGGAGCTAAAATCTTGCATTTGATTTTGAGAGGAATACATCCATCCATTTAACCGATTTTCGTGTAATTTCGCCAAAACGTTTCTGGGATGATGACGAACAAAAGTGTTTCAGGAAATTTTGAAATTTGAAACATTTTTTTACGTGGTGTCCAATTATGCAACAGGCTTCACATATTTTTCACTGCCCTAACTTTAGATGCGAATATCTAGACAACCAATCAGAATATCGGAAAAGTCTGGCATACTTTTGTTGATTGATGTCTTGTGAATGAGAATATGCAGCCATTTTTCTCGTGCCGCAGGATCCGATACCCGATAAATTCAATAGAAGGACCCTCAGTCGTTTTACGCCGTACCGTCTCCTGACACTTCCTAAATAAAAAAATCGCCTAAATTATAATTTTGTTGTAAACTGCACTTATTAAGCTTTGTTTTTCTATAGTTTGTTAGGGTTTTCTTTAAACTAGCGCGCGTACGAACTTTTTCCTGAAGGACACCCGCGAAGGTAGGAAGCTAGCTAACCACATATATATACATCGACGTAACCTTAACTAACATTTGAATGCTTTGTGGATACGTGTCTAAAAAACATACTTCAACTTATTTCCCCGTCGCAAGCGGCAGAAAATTGGGCCAATATTCTGCTGTCTTGCGATGGGTGAAAGCCAGATTTGGTTACGCGTGGTGAATGATAAAAACTATTCAAGTTTACTTGAATTATTATTAAAAAAGGACCAAATGAGTGAGTTTTATTGACGAACACTGTTCATGAATCTATTTCATGAGTCTACTTTCTTGCTCATGCTTCTCAAGGTTACAACGTTCTTTCTATTTGGAGGGTTTGTTCTAGTGAACATCTTCATACCCTCTGGGTCATTTATTTAATCCTACTTGACTTTTTTTCGTATCCACCAGAATTAGACCGTGTGAGCAGAGTCTCCTACGACCCAGAGAAAGGGACGAAAGAGGATTCCTGTCCTTCGGCTGTACAATTTGAAGGTATTTGAATTGAGAGTGAGCCTTAGTGTCAACGACTGCGAGCCAACGAAAACGAATCCATAGAATAGGAGTAATGCTAAGAATAAAAATTTAAAAAAACAAACTAACAATTGTTTGAAAAAGAAAATATAAAAAAATGAAATAGTAAATGCGGTCATGTACTTCAGAATAATAAGCGTGTTTGATTTTTGTTTCTTTTAGAAATTATGTAAAGACATTTTCACAGAAAGAAGAAAAGGACGGTGACTATCATCAACAAAACGATGCAAAGAACTAATCAACAGCAAAGGGGCTGGCTGTGAAGAGGCCTAGGAGGTGATTGACTAAACTATGCCTTGTTGGAAGGCTGTATTGAAAACTATTTGGCGGTCTGACGAACAACGATAAATGACGATATTTTCATAGCCCTAAGACGGAAGCTCAAATATTTTGAAAATAACTGAAAACGGAATTTCAAGATTTGGCAAAAGGCCAAGCTGCATAAAAATTTTTGTAAAACTACTTCGCCTGTATGAAACTAATTGCCCGTTTCTGTTTCTATAAGATCTAATTATCTGCACTGTTTTCTGCATCTGATTAGATGGAGCAATTTGCAATATGGAAAGCGTGACTGTTGCTTTAAATTATATATGAGGGGTAGACCAACTGTGGTACCGAGAGAGCATAAGTCTTGAAAGATTTGTTTATCTTCTGCTACTTGTTAACACCCTGCGCCTGATTAGAGAGAAAGTTCATCTTAACAAGAAGACTTTTTCGTAAACAGTTTGAAAATAGCTGCCATTTTGTCCAATTTGCCTTGCATAAGCCACAAGAGCGCGTTGAAGTTGCGCTTATTTACATTTTTCGTGATTAGAAAAACGCCATCTTGGATATTACGTCAGTTATGACTTAACAACAATAGTATTTATTGCTTCTATGGTGCCTTTTCTATACTGTGCTCAAAAGTGCATCTCAATAATATATAACTTAATAATTAAACTTACACCTCTATTATAAATCTTATAAATCTTATAAATCTTTCAATAAAGCTTACAAACTGTTTTCGTTTAAAATCTAGCATAGAATAACAACAACTGTAGAAGAACTTCTAAAATATTAATGGATAAAAGAAAATTTCTTAGAAAAGTAAACTTATTCCTTGTATAAAAAAGTTTTAATCATAGTATTAAAATATTCTAAGTTCCTTGCTTCCCGTGCATTTATAGGTAACTTGTTCCATAAAAGGGGAGCAGCTATCTGAATTGCTCCGTCATCCATTGTTTTCTTCGGTTTTCGCAATTGGTCTTTCAAACAAGGGAGCATTGTCATTATGTCTTAAGCTATAGCACGAAGGCAGTTGAATGCTAGCTAAGTCTGGAAGGTACTTAGGCGCATGACCACGCAAAATTTCATAAGTTATAAAAGTATCTTATAATGTATTCTGGCGCGCACTGGTAACCAATGTAATTCTGCAAGCAGAGATGTTATGTGAAAGAACTTGGGTGCGCGATAAATAAGTCTTGCACTTGCATTCAAAACACGCTGCAGTTTCCTAGTTTGATACTCTGGAATTCCATGTAAAAAGCTGTTACATTGGTCCAATCTACTACTAATAACAGCATGAACTAGTTTTTCAGTTGATTCTCTGGATAGATATATTTCCTAATATGACGTATGTTGTTCAATAGTCAATATAGTAGCAATAGTCAACCTTTGTTTGACGCTTTGTGCTTGTTGACATTTTCAACCTTTGTAAGAAAAATTTGTAATAGTTGAACTATGGTTGACTTCCTTGCGGTTAAAAGTCAAAACACATACAAAATTCAAAAGGAAAAGGTGTAAGTGAAATATTAGAGAAAATTCAGCTGCCAAAAATAACACAGCTTGCCAATCCCTGCTAATCCGGCAGAACAGTCATGACGAAGACTTCCAGTTGTTCTTGTTTACCTTCGCTTTTTAACTGAAAGCTATGTTTACCCCTTCCATAG